CCGGGAACATAGAGGTACAGTTCATTTTCGCTGGACCATTCTGGCAATGCCAATAACGGGCGAAAAACATTGCCCGAGATCAGACGAACTCGGCCATAAAAAGCTTTTCTGTTCTCTGGACAAACAGGTGTTTTAACACGTTTTGATCAGACCAGAGATACTACGAAATTATAAGGAAATACAATTCGCAGCAGTGCAAAATTTTGTCAGTCGGTGTATTCAAACCATCAGCCTATTGTTGTCCCTTCCTCTGGCCCTTCCAGAAGCGCGCAGCGGTAGTGAACTACACTTTTTGGTGGCCCTCTTGAACATGAACTAACCATTTTGAAATCTGCTCCACGACCTTAAAAACCTCCCCCCTCTTGATAGAGAAGACTGTAGTACACTCCTTATCCCTGAGACGGAGTAGGCGTGGCTTTTGAGCATGGCATAGGACGGGTTTCTCGTGGGATACTTCAATTTGAAACAACTGCTATCTTGTTCTGTGCTATATGTAGACATGATTACGACTGCTCCAAAATGACAATATCTCACGAAAACCTGGGCCGCCGCCATTTAAAATCAAGTACGCAGCCACGCCTACCCGATCTCAGGGATTTCGAGTATACATTCCAGCCCTCTATCACGACCGTGATTACAGAAAGTTCAGGGTCTCTGAAAAGCCACCGTTGCAGAACATTTCTTCTGGCCTTCAAAGTATACAGAAGAAGCTCTGAACGCGAGTATGCTGTTTTGGAGTAAGGGAAAAGAACAGCTGTTTGTTCCCAAAAAATTGGGATTATAGCTGTTCGTTTGGGTCACCGTATGGTTAGCTTGTACCAAAAAGGGAATTTCATCTGGTAAAGACCACATTACTAAAGATAAAGTTTAGTTAGGAATGCAAAACTTGCCTTTTCAATCATTTTCCGGACCTTCTTACAAACAATGAACAAATCTGCAGTCTCGGCATCGGAAAGGTCAGCCAGTTGGTTACATTTACGCTTTGGGCATACTAACACATCTAGAAATATCACTCCCAAAAGAAATGATCTGTATCCAATGCCTTTCAGTTAAAGTGAGAATGATAGTTTGGATGGAATCACTCACATCCATTCAAAGAAGATTTCGCGTTGATGAACGCAAACGAAAGAGCTGATCGGTAGAATACTAATTCGGCGGCGATCGCAGTCTCACCAAATATCAACGGAGAACTTTCTGAAGTTGTTGTTTGCATTATTGTAATTTTTCTTCAAGTAAAAGAACCACCGAAGCGACATGTCGACGAAGGTAAGCTCCAACTTCCGGGCAATTTTCCATGGGAAAAAATCTTTTTTTCTGCCCCCTCAGTTCTGCATGTCCCCTGTGACGGTCTCGTGACATTGGTACACACAGTCCTCTACTTCTCTGCGCTCTGGTCTTTCGCGCCAGGATCCCACTGAGAGTTCTTGTTGTCACGTGATCCTAGTCGACGTGGGAGACAGAAACAAAGGAGCTGTCGCGCCCCAGCAGGGTACAGCATCGGGACGGGAGATGGCGGCGCTAGAACCTCCCCCTCCCGCTCCCGAAATGTCTTCTTCTGGAAAGTCAACATCCGAATACAATGCCCTTTCCCCAGAGTCAAGTATGGGCTTCCTTGGGATTCTCCCATCGAGGGATGCTTTCCGGGTAACCGGGAGTAGTCAACCCTTTGGACTCTCCTTGGTGGCCAATCTGAATGACTTAGCTGCACACTTTTAATTCAGGTAACTTATTCGCATTCAGCTGTAGGCCGTTTCCAGCCAGTAGCTCCTGCCGTTTCTGCGATATTGTATAGATCGTACGACTGAATGCCCGATAAGAAACCCAAACTACGCTTGGCACGCTTCTGCTATAGTAGATTGTGCTCCCAGTAACGCGGATCATGCTCTCTACCCCATTTGGAGACAGTTCAATTCTTACTCGAGTTCCCTTCGAAAGAAGACCTCTTCACTCGAGATATAAACGACGTTTGGTAAAACAGCTGCTCTTTTGATAAGAAGCGATGCATACCGTCATCCTCCTCATTCACGTGTAATGTGTAGAGATCAGATCGTCGTT